CCCCGAGCCTGCGCAGTCGCAGACTCTCTGGGTGACCACGCCCCCACCGACAGAGTCTGCGCGAATTGCTCGCGCGGCTCACGGCCGCGTCAGCCTCCGGTGGCGTCCGCCCCGCCCACACGGAGTCTGCGCAGGCGCCGCCGCGGAGCTGGTGAAATCAAATATTCCAGCCCCGGCCACGTCGGGGTGGTGTTGGGTGTGAATCGCGGCCCCGGCCCGGGGGACGGTGCTGGGTGACCCATTGCTGTGGGGATCAAAGCAGTCAGGTGACAGGTTCAGAGCCCAGGGTGACGGGGGCACGGGGCACCTGGCCCTCAGCTGACTTCAGCCCCAGTCCCGCCCTCCCAGTTGGCATTGTGTCACTGCCTGCTCATTAATAAAAAAGGTATTTAAGGAAAATCGACTTTTCTTGGCCGGCCCAGGCGAAAAGTTGAGAAATCCTTAGGATAACTAGGGATGTGGCTCTAGGGGTACAGCACCTTCCCAGCAAGTGCAAGGCCCAGAGTTCAAACTCCAGTAGTACAAAAACCATCCTGTGACTTCTAGTCAGTTGCCACTTCTTGATGGAGAAAAACCACACCAAAAGACCAAAGTCTCATATATATAAAATATTTTATTACAGGCAATATTGGTCCATACACTACACAATACCAACAGTACAAGTGTAATCGTTCAAAATCATCATTTAAACAGCAAAAGACCAAGAAATAAAATTTAAGTCAATTGATTATTTTTCAAAATATTCTCAATGCACATTATTCTGGTTCCCTTATTGTAGTGAAACATACAAATACAGAAAAATACCCCCATTTAACATATACTACTGTTAAATGGTTATTTGGCTTAAAATCTGAGTTAAGAAAATCCTTTTTAGCAACCTACATACAGATAAGTAGCAAACTTTTATTAAACAATTCATTCTGCTAAAACATGTAAAGAATCACATCCATTGTGTATTCTGACCCCAGCACAAGTGTCTGTTCTCTTGCCATGGTTCTTATCTGAAGGACCAACTCAAAGAATCATCCTAGACATAACCTTTTCCTCATCCCAACACACTTCATCCAAAAGTCCGTTCAACAGATGGCCACCAGGGCGCGGTCACTTCACCATTTGATGCCAACGGTTCTGTGAGAGCTTGGCCAGACCTGTGAAACATCCCGTTTTCCTACCTACTGTGGTTGCTGCTCGGGAGGAGGAGGAACGAGGTTCGCCACAAAGCAGGAAGGCTGCGGCTCCTCTGCCTCGCACCTTACAACACTTGTAATTTTTTTTCTGGTCAGTGCTCTGATTAGGTTACAGAAAAGCCAGCATTATTAGTTTAAATCTTTAAACAAAAAACTATATTTTCCAAAGTCATTATCATTTGGGGCAATTAAGTGATCTTTTCTTGCTTTGTTGAGCTTCATCTTTAGGGCATTTCTTCTTTCTTCCCATTCTTGAAGTTCAGCATTTCCATGTGCAAATTTACAGCCACTCCCATCTGGACAAGTGCCAGTCATATACCTGTCAGGAAAAGGCAACTTGGTGAGTGTACACAGGCATGGAAAGAATCCAGGTCAAGATTCCTGAAACTGGGCTGGGAAGTTGGCTAAGTGGTAGAGTGCTTGCCTTGCATGCATGAGGCCCTGGGTTCGATTCCTCAGCACCACATAAGCAAAAAGAAAAAAGCCGGAAGTAGTGCTGTGGCTCAAGTGGTAGAGCGCTAGCCTTGAGCTGAAGAGCTGAGGGACAGCGCTCAGGCCCCGAGTTCAGGCCCCACAACCGGACCCCCCCAAAAAAAAAAGATTCCTGAAACTATCACTTCGCTAGCTTTGTGATTTGCATACAACTTCTTGCAATCTTCAATGTGAGGAATCCCCTTCACCTCCACTGTGGATCAAACCCAAGGCCTGAAGGCCCGTTAAGTATACCTTCTACCACTGTAGCCAGCCTTTAGGGAAGCCTTAACACTAAAGATGAGTATTTTACTGCTATGATAAATTATTAAAACATATTCAATGACAGGAGAACAATAACTTGGGGTGGAACTCAGTAGTAGTTTGCCTAACATGTTCAAGGCCCTGAGTTTGACCCCCAGGACCACTTTTTAAAAAAAAAGAAGGGGGAGAGAGGAGTTGGGGAGGGAAAGGATGGTAGGGGAAAAACAAAGGAGGGGGCAACAATGCTTGATAGGAAATGTAGTCATTACCTTACTCATGTAACTGTAACTCCTCTGTACAGTATCTTTACAATAACATATGTGTATATATATATATATGTGTGTGTGTGTATATATATATATATATATGTATGTATATATGAAGGAAAAAATACTAAATGATGGGGAAACAGAGACCACAGCCACTCTTCGTGTAGAAGGAAGACCTCAGAAGTGGCAATAGGCTGGGTGTGGTGGCATACAATCAAAAGAAGAAAGACTAATTCAAAATTATCCAAGCCAGATGCTGGTAGCTCATGCTATAATCCTAGCTACTCCAACCCTCAACTGGCACAAAAGAAAACAAAAATTAGTTAGGATTTTTTTTCTTTTTTGTTTATCTGAGCAGGAACAGCCAAAGCCCAAGCTGATATCAGAGCTATACAATCTGGGACTACAAGTGTGTACTACCATGCCTGACATAGTTTTTCATTAAAATTTAACTTTTAGGCTGGGAAGGTGGCTCAGTGGCAACGTGCTTGCCTTGCATGCATGAGGCCCTGGGTTCGATTTCTTAGCACCACATAACAGAAAAAGCTGGAAGTGATGCTGTGGCTCAAGTGGTAGGGCGCTAGCTTTATGCTGAAGAACTCAGGGACAGTGCCCAGACCCAGAGTTCAGGTCCCACGACTAGCAAAAAAAAAAAAAAATTAACTTTTAAGAAAACAAAAGAAGCTGAGCACTGGTGGCTCACATCTGTCATCTTAGCTACTCAGAGGCTGAGATCTGAGGATCGCAGGTCAAAGCCAGTCCAGACAGGAACATCCATGATACTCTTATCTACAATTAACCACGGGAAAACCAGAAGTGGCACTGTGGCTCAAGTGGTAGAGCGCTTACCTTGATTTGAAGAGCTGAGGGACAGTGCCCAGGCCCAGAGTTCAAGCCTCATAATCAACCAAAAAAAAAAAGGAAAAAGAAAAAGAAAAAGAAAACAAAGGAAGCTGGGTCTTGGTGGCTCATGTCTATAATCTTAGGAGGCTGAGATCTGAGGATCACAATTTGAAGCTAGCCCAGGCAGAAAAGACCATGACATTCTTATCTCCAATTAACTACCAAAAACTGGAATCAGAGCTGAGGGCTCAAGTGGCAGAGTACTAGCCTTGAGTAAAAAAGCTAGGAACAGCACCCAGGCCCTGAGTTCAAGCCCTAGGCCTAGAACAAAAAGAAAGGAGTGATGGTTTTATACCATCATTTCCTTTGACCTAAGTTTTGGGTCTAGCATTAGAACAGAACTTAAAGGTCACCCCCAATCTGATGATCATTAACTTTTTTTTTTTGTGGTCGTGGGGTTTGAACTCTGGGCCTGGGTGCTGTCCTTCAGCTCTTCAACTCAAGGCAAGCGCTCTACCACTTGAGCCACAACACCACTTCCGGTTTTCTGGTCGGTAATTGGAGATTAGAGTTTCACAGACCCCTGGACTGGACTGGCTTTGAACCGTGATTTTCAGATCTCAGCTTCCTGAGTAGCCAGGATTACAGGCGTGAGCCACTAGCACTCAGCTGATCATGAATTTTTGAACAGCGGGTGATGCAGAGAGCCAGAGAATGATTGCTGAGAAGGTGCATGTAGATGAACACGCTTCTCTGCACAGTTCTCTGGGAAGACGGTTCAAGGCAGTCTGGGAAACTCACTGAGTACTGCCACCACAGCCGGGAAGACAGAGCAGCTGTGCATCCCTGAGCCCCTGGGCCCGGCACCATTCAGTGACCCCTCCCCCCCAACCTTACAAGTGACCTACCTCTCACAAATACTAAAATAGCCTGTGGGGAAGCGGTGCTGCCAGCAATACTGGTCGTCTTCTGTGTGGAAGACCTTCTCCTTGTGCTTCTCGGACGAGATGTGGCCCTGCCACTGCTTCTCGCTGTTACAGTTCTTCCCGCACATCCAGCAGTGGAAGTCCACCTAGTGAGTGTGTGTGGCAAGACACGCGGCTGTCAGAGGTCACCTGAGTGCAGACTGGCGCCCAGGCCCAGGAGGACCAGGTGCTACCTGATCTAAGACCCAGACCACTTTCAGGGAGCTGGGCGAGGCTACATGACTCAAAGTCAGAGAGGGTCAGGAAAGGGGCACGTTCTGGAAGCAAGCATCAGCAAGGAGCCAGAGGAGCCAGGGTGTACACCAGGGCATTCAGTGGGCAAACCAGTGTGCAAAACCAGTGTGCAAACTCAAATTCTCTGCCTAGAATTCAGGTCTGTGGCAAAGCCAGGAGGCCATGAGAGCCTGAGGTGTGCCAACTTAAGAGGGCAAGCAGCAGCTCCACTCCATACACAATAACTGAGCCCTCAGTATAGGCAGGCTGGTGCCAGGTGGCAGAAGTAAAGATGGTGGCCCTGAGGGGACCATCCTCCTCAGGAGGCACCAGTCACAAAGAGATAGAAGTGCTGTGACAGATACTGAAGGAGTACCCGGGGAAAGACTGTATTTCCTAAGGGTACTGGGCACAGTGACACCAGCCCTGCAGGGCAATAGATAAGCAGCAAGCCTGTATGAGATGCCATGTACCATACCAAAAGAAGCTGCAGCATTTCATGGAGATTGTGAAACTCAGCAGGCAGGAAGGACCATAGCTTAAGGACAAACACACCAGGGATTCAGAAAGTGGGTTCTGGGAATGTATACAATGGAGGGGTCATGCAGACTCTAGTGTGCTTTCTTTTTTGCTGGTCATGGGGCTTGAACTCAGGGCCTGAGTATTGTTCCTGTGCCTCTTTGTGCTCAAGGTTAGTGCTCTATTACATGAGCTACAGAGCCACTTCTGGCTTTATTTGAGTAGTTTACTAGAGAAAAGAGTCTCACGGACTTTCCTGCCAGGGCTGGCTTTGAACTGCAATTCTTAGATGTCAGCCTCCTGAGAGGCTAGGATTATAGGCGTGAGCCACAGTGTCAAGCTCCAACATGATCTCTAGCACGAGGAGACAACAGCAAATGGCAGGAGCCCGTGGTGGAGAGGAGCTGGCAGCAGTGGGCAGCAGAGGGGAGGCAGCGGGGGATGGAGGCAGAGCTGGGGAAGGGGAAAGGAAAGGCTTCTGGTGTGAGCAGGTACTTACAGTAACTTCAGCATAGTCTGTTGGCATATGGATTTGTTTCCCATTTTCCTTGTTTGACTGGCTGGCTACATCATCACTCTTGTCATTTTTTTGACTCTTGAGCCACAGTTCATAAAATTGCTCCATATCTTGTACTAAAGAAAAACAAACCACTTTCAGCAACAATGAAATGGACTTTTCATATGGGCATGTGTGATCACATGCGCGCGCGCACACACACACGCACACGCACACACACGCATACACACACACACTCACGCACGCACGCACACACACACACACACACACTTGTTTCAGTCAGCATACATTTTCTTTTTTTTGGGGGGGGGGCCCGGGTCGTGGGCCTGAACTCTGGGCCTGGGCGCTGTCCCTCAGCTCTTCAGCTCAAGGCTAGCGCTCTACCACTTGAGCCACAGAGCCACTTCCGGCTTTTTTCTTTTTGCTTATGTGGTGCTGAGGAATCGAACCCAGGGCTTCAGGCATGCAAGGCAAGTGCTCTACCACTGAGCCACCTTCCCAGCCCCTCAGCATACATTTTCAAAACAAAGCAAGGGCTGTATTAGACAGGCGACTCCAGTCCAGCCTCAGCAGCAGATAAACCCATGCGCAAGACCCAACAGATAGCAAACAATTCTCCACATTAAGTAACTTCTCCCTGCATGGGCAAACATGTGGGGTGCTGAAATCTCAGAACAGCCGCAGGTTTTGGCCCAAAGAGCCTCGGCACCATTTTGTGTCATCCTATGTGAGACCTATTAGACAACTTGGGGGCTGGGAGCTGATACGCTCTCCCTGTTCACTGAAAAAGATGAGAAACAGACTCCTCCAGGGTCAAGACTGACCCTGGTGGGAGTCACCCATGGTGCCATAGTCCCAGAGGACCGGCATGCTGGGTGTGATTACAGTACCACTGGGGCTACCTCCTGGCAGTGGTAAGAACAGGTGAGGAACGTCACTGACAAGCGCTGATTTGGGGATCTGCAGCCTCGGCACTGCTGACTTACAACCTCTCCTGCTTTCTGCTGACAGCTGGCCCGCAGTGCAGTGGGGGGTACTTAGCAATGACCCTGGGCTCTCTTCAAACTGAGAATCTCCCTGTTTAAAACTGGTCCTGGGGCTGGGAAAGTGGCTCAGTGGTAGAGCGCTTGCCTTGCATGCCTGAGGCCCTGGGTTCGATTCCTCAGCACCACATAAGCAAAAAGAAAAAAGCCGGAAGTGGCGCTGTGGCTCAAGTGGTAGAGCGCTAGCCTTGAGCTGAAGAGCTGAGGGACAGCGCCAGGCCCAGAGTTCAGGCCCCACGACCGGACCCAAAAAAAAAAAAAAAAAAAACTGGCCCTGCTGCCAGGCGTAGGTGGCTCACGCCTGTAATCCTACCTATTCAGGAGGCTGAGATCTGAGGATCACGGCTCAAAGCCAGCTTGTTTTAGTACTAGCCTTGAGCACAAAAGCTCAGGGACAGTGCCTAGGCCCCTGAGTTCAAGCCCAGAACCAGCTCACGGGAAGCTGCATGCTTCACGTCACAGAGGGCAAGACAGTGCAAAGAACTTACTCCCATTCTCCTTCATGTAGGTCCACACTTCCCGCTCCTCAAGACTATGTGCAAAAGAACAGTTCCCAACATACTGACACTTTTTCCCAGAAGCAATGTGGTTGCACAGCTGTAAAGAAAAGCACACACACACACACACAAACACATATGCTTTAAGATGGAGCAGCCTTTGTCAATTAATAAGCCTTACTATGATGCTAATGCTCAGAAGTAAGAGTTTTTAAGTACGATGGACTTGATTTCATTTAAATTGACTGTGATCCCCCAATACCTGAGATGATATTGATAGTAGAGGTTTCTATAGTAACAGAGAACATTGTACAAGACAACGCTGACAAGCTCACACACTGAGTGAGGACCTTCCACCCCTGCAGCTCTGGTCCTCTCCACCTGATGGCTCCTACCCTCCCAGGAAACAAACCTCGGGGCCTCCAGGTCAAAAGCCAGCTCCAGCGGCCACCAGACAGTCCCAGGGGACTTTGCAACATCACCCACTGAGAACAACACAAGAGCTAGCCGCACTCCCTAGATAAGACTGATCCGACGACAAACGGCACACCACGAGGCTGTGGAGTGACAGGGCTGTCAAATAATGCCTCGACTGGGCATTGCTGTTTTGATGTGACAAAGGACACATGGTGACACCGGTAGGAAAATGAAGTGACAGCGACGACAGAACAGGCCCTTCCTTAAGAACCATGACTACCTAGAACAAGAGGCATCCATTGCCTTCTCTTAGTAGATCCCAAGTTCTAATACAGCTTATGATGACTGATGGTAGTTTGTGTTACAATTGGAACTCAGATAGTGTTAAGTAATTAACATTTGCTTTAAAAAAAAAATAACCAGTCTAGGCTGTGGATGGTTGACTCTAAGAGCAGTCAGCCCTTAACACTGCCCATCTTCTCTCTTGGATGAACTCAGCGCCCCATCCTGAAAATCTTCTGCAGGAAGGTGGCAGCCAAGAAACAATTCTTGTCCCCGACTTTCTCATACCATCCCTGCTCAAGGCCCAAGAGGCACTCAGTGGTGTCCCTAAGGAAAGACGTCCTTGATGGCTCACAACAAGGAGCAGGAGGAAGAGAAGTATAATGAAGCAAGGCTGAGCACATGGTTCAAGGGACAGAGCCCTTTCTCAACAAGCAAACACAATGTCCCCAGTTATTCCCCCACTATCACAAGACATAGACCACACAGCCAGGCACCAGTGGCTCACGCCTGTAATCCTAGCTACTTAGGAGTCTTAGATCTAAGGATCATGGTTTAAAACCAGCCCAAGCAAGAAAGTACATCAGACTTTATCTCCAATTAACCACCAAAAAGCTGGAAGTAGAGCTGTGGTTCAAGTGGTAGAGCATCAGCTTTGAGGAGAAAAACTCAGGAACAGTGCACAGGCCCTGAGTTCAAGACAGAGGACCACGGCTGGGAATATGGCTTAGTGGTAGAGTGTTTGCCTAGCATGCACAAAGCCCTGGATTCGATTCCTCAGTACGACATAAACAGAGAAAGCCCGAAGTGGCACTGTGGCTCTAGTGGTGGAATACTAACCTTGGGCAAAAGAAGCTCAGAAACAGTGCCTAGGTCCTAAGTTCAAGCCCCAGGACTGGCAAAAAAAAAAAAAAAGTAGTCCAGGCACTGTGCTGGGTTTCAGAGAACCATATTGGTAACTGCTCCCTATGATGGCTGAGCAAATGAGGCTGAGTAACGACAGGCCCTTCTGGCACTCAGAGCCCATCTCCATTCACCTGCCTATACTTTCCACACACACAGAGTGTGACTGCTTCTTTTAGAAATGACCCTTAACAATGTCTAGGAGGAGGAAAAGGAAATAGCTGCTGAGAAGCTGCACAGCAGGACAACACACACGACATGAAAGTATGACCAGCCATCTAGCACCCAAGTACCATGGCTCCGGGAAGCCTCTTTCCCCCTTCCTATAAAAGCAGAGTCCAGAACCACTGTGGGGAAGAGAGAGCCAAGACTGGTCCTTGGGACGCGTGCTAAGCTTTCCAAAGCTGTGAGGTGATAAACCCATCGCCCTCTTCCTCAAATCTTTATGGCCATTTATCAGCTGCTGCCCTGTTTTCTGGGACAAGAAGTCCTCCATCTCTCCTCTGTGGGTGCAGAAAGCTGGCTGCCTGGCAACACGCCACTGTCCCTGTCCCTCAGGTCCAGTGGATCACGTGTGGACTCTCTAGATCCTCTCTTGGCAAAGGAGAGGTCTGGGGACAACACAAGTGATCTTCCTGGCAGTCATGGCCATGACCAAGGACACTCCTGACTAAGCTGCCTTGGGCAGAGGACCACATGCTCTGGACGGGCACCGGGCCCCCCCCGCTGCCAGCTACCTGAGCAAGTCCTGTGCCACCGAGACACTGGCTTCAGTGAAGCAAGCAGGAGCGATGAAGAGGCACCACAGCCCTCTGCGCTAACACACAGGCCTAGAGTCCAGAGCAGACCTGAGCAATCAAAGTCAGGTGACATTTTTCTCATCTCCTCTAAAACTGATTCCGTAGAAAAACAAGTGAAATTACGCCCAAAACCAGGATCTATGCACTCTGCCCAAGCACCCCACAAACTCGCCATCCATGTGAAAACTGCCACGGAGTCACACAGCTAAGGGGAAGGGAGGGCAGGAGCACTGCACTTCATCCCTACGCATGAGCCTCATTAAAAGGCTTCCATTTCCAGGCAATTACCACTACTTGCTAATGATTTGAAACGCCTAATTTTTTTAAAAAAAAAAGTGGCTTAAAAATTACGTATGTACATCAAACTGTAAAGGCATTTGTTTCTTTGTGGGGAGAGGACGGATGTTCATCCACTTCTTACGTTCAAAAGACATCACTCTCATCGCCCGGCGATCTTTGGTCCACCTAAGGAAAATGGAGTTCAGAAAAAAAACAGACACACGGGGCAAAAGGCACAACAACACAGGGAGGTACACACTTGTACCTGAAGGACAGAGGTTTTCCTCTCTCAACACTTCTAAAAGAAATGCCTCGTGATTATCATTTCCTGCTGACACTTTGAAGCATTCCCTAGGAATCCTAAACAGGTGGATAGTGGGAAAACACAATTTTGGAATTCTTAACTAATCCTAAAAAGTTCTTCCGCTTTGTGATTACCCCTGCGATCTACCTGCCCTCCTTGGAGCCTGACTCTTTTCTCAGGTGTGTGGTCTCATACCTAGGAAACAGGTGGTTACAAAGCAAGCACTGCTTCCTCCCCCAGTACTTACGAGTGCATGGCTTTTGCACTACAGTATTTCCTGTTCTTGTCTGGTTCAATGATTTGGCCATTTCTCAGACACTGAGCACATACAAATTTTATCTTCATATTAAGAGATCCAGGCATTATTTGATTGCCAAATACCTTAAACAGAAGATCCATATGTTAACAGAAAACTAGATGTCTAAGTACAAAACACTAAATCATTACACACTTTTCTTTCATGATAATATACAATTATATATATATATACACATATATAACACATGTATGTGTTGTATATGTGTGTGTCTATCTTATAACAAAACCTCAATACCCCTCACGTTTATGCAAAAATATAAAATAAAGGTGGACTATAGATGCCAACCCTCAACTTGCAAAAGCTAGTTTAAACTTAAGATTGGTTTGATTTTGATGGCCATTGAGGAGAACAACAGACAAGCAAGTTATGACAGGTGGGAACCAAAATTAAAAACCTAACCCTCCTCTCTTCCTCTATGAGCCCCAACTAAGCTAAATAAGAAAACAGTACCCTCCATTGTCGTCACATATTGTACAATATCTAATTTTATAACAATGGACAACTAAAACCAACTGTTTTCAGAAGAATTGCTCAGCTGCATGGGATGTGACTGAGGAGACTGAACTGTCCATGACCATCACGGTCCCCACGGGCCGTGACAGGAAGCCACCAAACACAGAAAGCACACAGGAAAAGGTACCTGAGCTCCAGGCCCGACTGCTTCCAAATTTTGCCAATACTGTTTCGATTCTTGAGCAATGGCATCATGTGAAATACCTGGTGGGAGATAAGAGAAGCCTTCCTTTAGATTTTGCACTGAACAGAAGTCCACCTCCCACTTGCGGTCAGACTCAGAGAACCCTCCACTCCCCAGGTATTCTTAGACCGCCTGATCTATCCCCAAGGGTGAGTGGTACCACATTATCCCTTTTCAAATAGAATATTTACAAATACAGCTTGTGTCATCTGAGCAACCTGCCCCCGACCCGTGATACAGTTATGAACTTGTATCAACTCAGAGCAGACAGTACAGGACCAAAGCAGCAGCGAGCGCAGGAGCCCGATGACAAGGGTGCACTCAGCCCCTGCACCTCGCGGGCCCTGGTCCTCAGGCCACCAATTTGAACACTGAGCTGCGAACCGACCTGTTTCACTCTGCATAGTCCAGACTTTCAGCTCCACTAAACTGTGGGCATAGAAGCACTCATCTTCCCGCTGGCAACCATAGCGAACCTCATGGCGACACAGGTCAAGCTGACACTGACCATGAAAAGAACGGATTTTAGAATATTTTACTGTTGTCTCTCGCAAAATGTGGACGAGGCACCTGCGATGAAAACAGAGACATTTTAATATCCTTCTGTCACTATTGACAAGAAATATGCATAGACACGCAGGCACACACACACAATGGCGTGGTCTAGACTGGAAATGACAGAGACTCCATTGTAAATCTTTTTATTTTTTCCTTTTTGTGCCCGTACTCAGGGCCTGGATGCTGTCCCTTAGCAATTTTTGCTCAACAGCAGCACTCTACCATTTGAGACACAGCTCCACTTCTGACTTTTTGCTGGCTAATTGGAGATAAGGGTCTCAAGGATTTGTCTACAAGGGTTGGCTTTGAACCATAATCCTCAGAACTCAGCCTCCTAAGTAGCTAGAATTATAGGTGTGAACCCAACCCACTCAGCCTAACCCATTGTAAATATTTATCAGGAAAAAAAAAACGAAAACCAAAAAAAATTATGCAATTGTCAAATTAATGTGGATGGTAATTATATTTTAGACAAAAAACTCCATACAACCTTATCATGAGAACCCATAATAAATGATACTATTCTGTATTAGATAATCCATTAATTATTAATCAAATCTACTAAAAGGCATTTTAAAACAGTCACTGTTGCTCTTCTAGACAACAACAGCAGGGCAGAAGTAATGTCTGGGAAAATATCACTACTGATTTTGTTTTGATCTAAGAAAGAAATTTATTTTGTCATTTTAAGAAGTAGAAACCATCAACATACTTATTGTCTTCAAATTCATGCTTTGTATCAGGGTGAGAACAGGCAGAAGAATTATCTTTATTTCTTTTACTTATCATTCTAGGTTTATGATCAAAACATTTCTGTAATAGAGAAAACAGAAAGGTTACCATACAAATAAATACAAACTGTGGTTTATGTATGTATGTATTTATTTTGGTGCTGGTACTGGGGTTTGAACTCAGGGCCTCACATTCTTGCTTAGTTTTTGGGGTTTTTTTATCGGTTGTGGGGCTTGAACTCTGGGCCTGGGCGCTGTCCCTCAGCTCTTCAGCTCAAGGCGAGTGCTCTACCACTTGGGCTACAGCACTACTTCAGGTTTTCTGGTGGTTTATTGGGGATAAGAGTCTCATGTACTTTCCTGCCTGGGCTGGCTTCGAACCTGGATCCTCAGATCTCAGCCTCCTGAGTAGTTAGGACCACAGGTGTGAGCCACCAGCGCCTGGCTCTTGCTTAGTTTTATTTGCTCAAGACTGGTATTTGAGCCACAGCTCCACTTCTGGCATTTGGTGGTTAATGGGAAATAAGAGTCTCCTGGATTTGTCTGCCTGGGCTGGCTTTAAACCATGATCCTCAGATCTCAACCTCCTGTGTACCTAGGATTACAGGCGTGAGTCAACCATTACCTGACCCAAACTTGGCATTTTGTAGACACAAGATATTGTCTTAACTCCAGAATCTTTATAAATATATTATTCTATTTTTTTTCTTTTTTCTTTCTTTTTTTGGTTGGTCATGGAGCTTGAACTCTGGGCCTACGTTCTATTCCTGAGCTTTTCTGCTCAAGGCTAGCACTCTACCACTTTGAGCCACAGTGTCACTTCCAGTTTTCTGGTGGTTAACAGGTGATAAGTCAGGGTCTTTCCTGTTCAGACTAGCTTCAAACTGCAATCCTCAGACCTCAGCCTCCTGAGTAACTAGGATTATAGAAGTGAGCCACCAGTGCCCACTACAAACATTAACCTTCACCGTGAAGCCTCAGTATAATTCTTTCTGGTAAAAGTAATACTACCATTTACTGAGTAACTACATGATCTTATGCCAGGGTCGCCTGAGGCCTTCCTACTGCCAGGCTTGCCAATCAGAAACTAGCACAGAGCCTTCTGCATGCTGGACAGTCCTATATTACACAATCAGCACCAAAACTAATCTTCCAACAGAAAAGAAGTCTCAGAGAAAGCACCTCACAAAGGAATATAAATTCTCCAAGGTGCTCTTGGAGAAGTTTGCCCACAGAAAGATTGATCTTCCCATTGCCACCAAAGAAAGCCTCTCGGCTGAAAGCTCCCTTTCTCTCCAGGGTCCAGATGTCTATCTCTTCCTGGCAATAAGCAAATGTGCAGTGGCCGGAATAGCGACATTCTTCCTCAGCAGCCACATCTAGAGAGACACGGAGGACGAGACATTCAATCATGGTTAACTGTTTTTGCAAACACAGCTTCAAGCAATCATTTTTTTTTTTTTTCTGTCAGTCATGGAGCTTGAACTCTGGGCCTGGGCGCTATCCCTCAGCTCTTCAGCTCAAGGCTAATGCTCTACCTCTTGAGCCACAGAGCCTTCTTCCAGTTTTCTGGTGTGGTTAACTGGAGATAAGATTCTCACAGACTTTTCTGCCTGGGCTGGCTTTGAACCTTGACACTCAGATCTCAGCCTCCTGAGTAGTTAGGATTACAGGCATAAGCCACCAACACCCGCTTTAATAATATTCTTATTATTATTCAGGGATGGGTTGAATTTAGTCTTTGAGTCAACAGCTTTTACTACAGACAGGCAAAAACTGCTTCTGTATGCCTGTGTATTCCATGTAAAATCAAAAACCATCTTGGGGCCATTTAAACTCCATCAGATCAAGCAGTTTGACAAATGCAAAAGTGCCAGATTCTCTCAAAAAGCATTTGACAGCCAGACACTGGTGGCCCATGTCTGTAACCCTTGCTATTCAGGAGGCTGAGAGCTGAGGACCCAGGTTTAAAGCCAGCTTCAGCAGAAGAAGCCAAGAGATTCTTATCTCCAACTAAGCACCAAAAAGCTGAAAGTAGAGATGTGGGTCAAGTGGTAGAGCGCCAACCACGAACAAAAAAGACAAGCTAGAGGGCAAGACACTGAATTCAAGCCTCAGTAACAGCACAAGAACTGAGAGAGTATCTTAAATAGAGCAACATTCTCAATCAAAGTTTTAGTTCAGTGTTCTGATTCTAAATAGACAGAATTTTCTGTTTAAAATTTGGTCAAAATCTTACTTTTATAAGGCACCATAAAGCACACATAAAAGACTACAAACAGCAGTAAAAATGATACAGAAATGCCAAGTGCCATTGGCTCATACTTGTAATCCTAGCTGAAGAAGCTGAGATCTGGAGGATTAAAGTTTGAGACCAACAGGCAAAAAGTCCTCTAGATTCCAGCTCCAAAATAACGAACAAAAAAGCAAGACTGGGTATATAGCAGCAGCCTCGCAGGTAGGAAGCCCTGAGTTCAAACCCAATATTGTCCAAAACAAAGACTCCGATCTCAATTCAGGGAACCTGCTATCAACTCTCTGTGTAAGTATTTCTCAGAAGTCAATATTGGAGCCCTTACAAAAACCTGTAGTTAACTTATTACTTATGTAATAGATGGTAATTACAATATGTACCTTTACATATATAATATGGTCCTTCATAATTTGTTTTTGTTGGTCTTGGACGTATTTTTTTCCATGATTTATCTTCAACATTCTTTATCCTACCAATTAAAATATCTTTCTTACATTTATGATCTATAGTAGCATGATAGGTGAAATCCATTAACTTAGGGCCTGAAAAAGATGTAAAGAGGATTATTCATACACACGAGGAATGCTATGCCATTCATTGTAGTCCACAGCACCCCAGGTCAAAGGGGCAGGCAGGTGACCACTGCCCACAATCTCAGCAAACACCTTCAGCCTAGCCAGGCAGACGTTCACTTTTATGCTCAAAGCTCTCTTCAATCCAAGTCCTATCAAAACATATATTTACTTAACTTCTAGGGACATAATGTAGATGGAAATTCTGACAGCTTATCATAAAAGTCAAGAAGGGGCAGCTGTCAGAATGTTTGTGTCCAGGCTACTGTCTGCATCTGGAATAGCAAATAAACCCAGTTCCCCAAAAGCAAACCAACCCCTCTCCCCACCAAAAAAAAAAAAAAAAATCAGAACTGATTACACTCCTAATTTGAAAGTAGCCAAAAAAGAGAACTTTGATTTTCCTAACTGCTGCACCATATCATATAGCTCTTAAATATACCCTTGGAGCAAAAGGACTTTCCTGTTAGTTTCACATGAGAAATAAAAGTGTACAGAAGTGCTTGCTTCAGCAGCACATATAATAAGAGTGTACAGAAGGGACTAGCAACTTCTCAGAGTCCAAATGCCCTATATGAGAAAGGGAGGTGCTGGGGCTGGGAAGGTGGCTCAGTGGTAGAGCGCTTGCCTTGCATGCCTGAGACCCTGGGTTCAATTCCTCAGCACCACATAAGTAAAAAGAAAAAAGCCGGAAGTGGCGCTGTGGCTCAAGTGGTAGAGTGCTAGCCTTGAGCTGAAGAGCTGAGGGACAGCGCCCAGGCCCAGAGTTCAGG